TAGCATTTGATTGAACATGGAAAAATAGGCATCAAAGAGATTTACATAACAAAACAGAATTTAAACATGTAAGTAGGAAAATATATGATATAGACACAAAACCATAATATATGGTACAATAAATGAGTTTTGAGATCAAGTATCATCACCATATGATTACTTAGTATCATAGTAGTGAGTAAAACTTGTAAATGAGTAGCTTTCAAAATCCTTTGACCTAGTAGTAATATATTTGATTTTTTTTAAGCTGGAGATGACTAATCATACATTTACCTCGGTTATTTCATTCTCTTCTTAGTATCCTGGTCAATTTACGTTCCTTACCCTCCGCCACACTATGCAATTCCCACCCACATCAATGCCATGGACAAGGTTAAATTAGAGCCAAATGCTGTTTTACAATAAATACATTTAGCATTTCAGCTCCCTACAACTCAGAGAAAGCAAAAATAAAACGCACTACATTAAAAAAATGTATCTTTATGGTTATAGTGATCTCTAAAACATAAGCCTGTTCTCATGATACCATCGCAAAAAAACTATTAATCAATGGAGAGTGAGTTAAATATTGTATCTTAAAAACTATGTGCTTTTACACTGAATAATTTTTTATTTTTTTTACTTTAAGTTCTGAGATACATGTGCAAAACATACAGGTTTGTTACATAGGTATACATGTGCCATGGTGGTTTGCTGTACCTATCAACCTATCATCTAGGTTTTAAGCCCCGCATGCATTAGGTATTTGTCCTAATGCTCTCCCTCATAAAGCCTTATGGAATAACATGTTTTAAAAATTTGTGTTTATTTCTACCAGGAGGAGGCTGTCAACATTTGCATCTTTGATGAAAATTTCCAGTTATTCCAAGAGCCTTCAAAACATCTTTTAAATCAATTCCTGTTCCACTGTGAACCGTGGAGAACACATAGGAATAAAAATATTTAGTTAACAGCATATTGTTACCTGGGACAAGAACAAAGTTTAGATATTGTGATATTTAAAGTCGCTTTACAGAGAGTAAATTATGCTAAAACTGGCTTTGGACTGCAATTAGCACTTTGAAGTTACTTCTTTAAAACTAGTTTGTTTATTTATTATTATTATTAGAGACAGAGTTTCACTGTTGTTGACCAGGCTGGAGTACAACGGTGCAATCTCGGCTCACTGCCACCTATGCCTCCTGGGTTCAAGCAATTCTCCTGCCTCAGCCTCCTGAGTAGCTAGGATTACAGGCACCCACCACCATGTGTGGCTATTTTTTTGTATTTTTAGTAGATGGCCAAGTTAGTCTCGAACTCCTGACCTCAGGTGATGCACCCACATCGGCCTCCCAAAGTACTGAGATTACAGGCATAAGCCACCACACCCAGCCTACTGGTTTTTTTTTGTTTTTTGTTTTTGTTTTTAATTAAAGAATTAGAACATGTTTATACCATCTCACTGGGTATTCTTTAATCTTTTAAAAAGGATCTTTGGTCTAGCTCTCACAGCAGACACTCATTTATCCTCCCTTCTTTCTTTCTTACATGATTTACTACAATGGGACGTATTGAGATATTCAATCAACACATTTATTGATTATCTATTCTACAAGGCATTATGTCAGATGGGATGGGGAATCCAAAGATGTTTAAGACATGTCTTCCGGAGAATATAATCTATTGTCAAAGATAAGATAAGAACCAGATAATATAAACTTAATGTTATGACTGTATTTATAGTTTTGCTTGTAGATGTTAAATATGTTTCATGCTAGATTTATTTGGCAAGTGGTAACTATATTTTACTCCAGAACTCCATAGTAAATAGAGGATTTAACATCATCATTTATTGGTTTTAGTCATTGAAAGTCTTTTGGCTTCATGCCTATAGTCC